CCCCAAAACCCCAAAACCCCAAAACCCCATCATTCATAATAATGAAGCAAATGAATGATGTCCTTATAATTATTTTAAGTCAACTATTCTCACAAAATTAATATATGGCTGAATAAATTAGAGTACTATTTCTCGGGGATGGTATTGAAAAATGAGTATTTAACTTAAAATATAGAGGGAGTGGGTAAGACGTCGATGATTATCACTCTTGTATCTGAATCATTTCCAAGACAAGTCTCAAAGACCTATCATCCTGTGATTATATCTCCTGATCTTTATATGCTTCCGATAAATACATCTACAGTCTTGCTTGATTCTTCTTGTAATATTAGTCTAAATTTAATATTTCTCAGCAAGCAAGGATGATGAGCAAGCGACTGATTCAGAAATTGATAAAGCAAGCGTTATCATTTTAGTTTATGATGTAAATAACCTCGAATGCATGAAGAGACTCAGAAGTTATTGGATGCCAAGAATAATCAAGATAAATGATAAAGTAATCATATCTCTACAAACTAAAACAAGCTTTCGTTATCTTCAATTTATTTACAATTTCTTTAGATACCAATTATTTTTGTCGGAAATAAAATGGATTTGAGATCGTCGCATGTTGATAATAATGATCTAGAATCAACTCTCTCACCTTACTTTATGGAATTCAAGCAGGTAGAAATGGGTTTAGAGTGCTCTGCTAAGGGCTACATGAATCTTATTGATGTTATTTATTGTGCATAAAGGGCAGTATAGTTCCCTATTTCACCTCTATTCGACTCAATTTCAAAGTAACTCAAACCTGAATTTGAGAAAGCGCTACTCAGAATATTCAGAATATGTGATGCTGATTAAGATGGATTCCTAAATGATAATGAGCTGCAAGAGTTTTAGAACTAAGTTTTTAAAGCTGAACTCTAGAAAAAACACATTACAGCTCTTAAAGAGGTCTTAATCCTTGAATGCGAAGACTATGATGAAACATCATCTCTGAAAGGCGTCAATATTGAAGCATTCAAAGCTCTTTAAAAGGTATTAATCTAAAAATTGAAATAACAAACTTGTTGGTCAATATTAAGGCACTTTGGATATGATGATAAATTGTTAATTAAGTAGAATCTGTGGGATGATGGGTCTGTGAAGGATGAAGACCTTGATAATTGTAAAAGTGTTGAACTGTCGAAAAGTTCTTGGTAGTATCTCCATAAGATTTTTGAATGCTTTAAAGTACCCTTAACTAGCAAGCTAGATGAAGGAGCGCTTGAAAAAATATTTGCCACAACAGAAAATGGTATCCCTTGGAAGGTTAAGTATGTTACAAACTACGAAAACGGAATAAGTCTAGATTAATGGATTGCAATGTGGCAAAAATTCTTCAGTCAAAGTCCCAAAACAGCTTTCAAAAATCTAGTTTACCTTGGATTTTAGGAAAGATTTAGAGATGCTGTTTAAATTTATAAATATAAGGAGAGCGATTTACTCAAACCATAAAATAAGAGAAAAGTATTCAACTGCTATGTTCTGGGAACACAATACTGGGTAAATAACTACTATAAATTCGTAATTAATTGTAGCCTTAAATGCTGGATCATATGATCTAATCGCAAGTTGAGTAATAAGAAAAGGATGCACCTGAAAGATCAATTGTGAAAGTAATTACAGATCAAAACAATTTAAAAAGAAATCTAATTGTAAGATAAGATTCTTAGATCTAATAATATTCAAATAGATAACGTCATTTTAAGAATCTGAGATACAAAAACTATAAGGTAATGCTGAAAAATAGAAGAAGTAATATATACTTAAACATTAATCTCAATTTTAGATGCGATTTACTGGTTGTTTTATTTGAAGATAGTTATGATGGAAGATAATTTGCTGAGGAGACTATTGGGGGTTTCTCTATAAATCTTCCAAAAATAATGCTATAGGTAAAAACTGATAAGGACGCCAGAGTGCAAGATTAGCAATCTAATGTGTAATCTTTTGTAAAAAAGCTTGGTGTTGAAATACTATAAGATTTTACAGTGCAAAAAGAGGCTGATTAAAGAAGAATTAAAGAGTTAGAAGAACTTTTACTTTCGGTAGTTATTGAACCAAGCAGAGGAATCAGCACTTAGGGTCAAGAGATGATAAGAAAAGCCAAGGGCTCTGACGATTCTTGGCTCACTATTAATTCAGCTACTGGTGTCGCGAGTGCTTTAGTATTTATAATAGGTGCTGGGATAGCTGGTTTGTATTATACAGGCAAAATTAGCTTCTCCTTTGCTTCTAAAAGTTCAAAATGAATATCAATTATTGTTATTTTAACCTTCCTTTTTAACTTATAAGCTGAGGGGTTTTGGGGTTTTGGGGTTTTGGGG